AGACTGCCCCTGGTATACCCACATAAGGCTGAGTCGACATGGTAGCCAAGGTCATGTTGTTGTTGAAGAAAGATTAAAAAAAAGGGTCCGGCTTAGCCAGGACCCGAGCCCACGACCTTCCGATCCGCAGGCGTGCGGCTAGCAGCTACGCCACGGCGACTCCCACAGTTATATTACGGCACCACAAAACGGTTAGCAAGTAACCAGATAGTGCAGCGTGGGTGGATTGTAAAACGTTAATACACTAAATTGCTGGTTCGTGAGTTAGAACTGACAGAGATACATGGCAACGTCAGTCGAATAGTATCGATCGCCCTACAACCGACAATACCTTCGGTCAAGGTTGCAGACTAAGAGTTCCAGAAGGTGGGCTCGGCACAAACTGCCAGTGTGGGCGGTCACAAATCGACGCCAAAGACTCTGTGAGCATCCGAGAGAAAAAAAAAAAAGGGAGCATACATGTTTGAAAGGTCAAAGTAACTTGGGGCCTTTGCTGTGGTTCTGTCAAAATATTCGGGATCAGCGGCATAGAAACATGAGAACCCTGTCAACTACAGCCGCACCCCTGCCTTCCAGAACAATCGAGAGGGGCGGGGAGGGGGGGGGGGGGCTTAAACAGCCGACATAACCACGTACTGAAGTTCCCTGAGTGTTTATATACACGTTTTTATTACAAGTAAAGTAAAGGACAATTCAGTCGTATTGGATATATAAGGATAGATCTATATTTTATAGACCAAATGACACTTGGTAGGAGATGTGGTCAGCATCACGCCGGCCCCTTTTACTTCCCAGGACTTCACCGGGTACCCACTCAAGGCTGGGTCGACCCGACAGCCAATGTCGTTTAAAAACAAGTCCGGCTCCGTCAGTATCTGACCCTATGACCTTTGGATCAGCAGACGAGATTTAGCCGCTGCACGACAGCGGTTGCCAGATTTCTTATTACACCGGGTGTATTATTTTATTATTCGGAGCAAATAAACAAGCCAAAACATTCCTTGAGAAATCATCAGAATCTCCTTAGGCAGTCAACAAGAGCAACCCAGATGTTTGAGAAAGTCGGGTGTTCAAAAGGAAGAGGAAGAGGAAGAAGAAGAGGAAGAAGAAGAAGACGAAGACGAAGACGAAGACGAAGAAGAAGAAGAAGAAGAAGAAGAAGAAGAAGAAGAAGAAGAAGAAGAAGAAGAAGAAGAAGAAGAAGAAGAAGAAGAAGAAGAAAAAAAAAGGAGGAGGAGGGGGAGAAGGAAACGAATAAAGAAGAAGAAGAAAAGAAGAAGAAGAAGAAGAAGAAGAAGAAGAAGAAGAAGAAGAAGAAGAAGAAGAAGAAAGCAACCAAACAAGAGGTAGACTGTGATACAAGTGGAAGGACAAAGTCAAGAGATGGGCAAATAGCAGTTTGAGATAGTGTACACAGAACGCGAAAGACGGAGGAAGCTGGAGAACCATTACAGCCATCATTCATTACGGAGACAGTACCTGATTAATCGAGTTTAAACTGGGAAGATAAGATATAGCCAAGAAAAGGACAAGAAGCTAAACTGGTCATGACTTAAACATTAACGCTAAATGAGTCGACAACAAACCAAATGGTTTGGTCTTGTAACGAGACTGGCATCAGACAGGGCACCAAAGATACAACGGTAACAGAGGCAGAGGTCGACCACGCAGACGATAGACCGCAGAAATATCAGAGACACTAAAAAGTACTTTCGATGAAGCTAACAGAAGGGCCCATTTAAGAGATCTCTTCCTGTCCTCACGCCGCGAGGCATTCCAGGAGTAGAGAAAAGAAGAAGAAGAAGAAGAAGAAGAAGAAGAAGAAGAAGAAGAAGAAGAAGAAGAAGAAGAAGAAGAAGAAGAAGAAGAAGAAGAAGAAGAAGAAGAAGAAGAAAGATTTCACATCATGCAACGAGAATATCTCAGGTTATGAATTATTAAACAAGTGGAGAATTAAGGAAGATATCAAGAGGCTTAGTCGCCTACGCCATGTAACAATTTAACTGGGAACGTGCACTGAGAAGGGGAGGAGGAGGGCACATAAACAGAAGGATCAGACATTGCAGGTAAAGGCGACGAAGCAGAATAAGATGAGTCACAACATAAATAAAGAGGAGAAGCAGAAAAGGCACGAGAAGACGAACGGAGGAAAATAAAAATGAAAGAAGAAGTGGCGGATGAAAGAGGAAAAAGAAAAGGTGGAGGAAAGAAAAAGAATGAAAAGAAGAAATTACAAAAATGAGCAAGATGAAGAAAAGATAAAGAAAACGTAGGAAGAGGGGGAGGAGAAGACAACATGAAAATGAAGGAGACATGAAAAGTAAGAGATGCAGAAGGAGGAGGAATAGACGACGAAGAAGAGAAAGACGAAGAAGAGAAAGACGAAGAAGAGAAAGACGATGAAAAGAAAAAGAGGAAGGAGAAAAAGGAGGGGCGAAAAAGAAAAAAGAAAAAACGAAAAGAAAGCAGGAAGGAGAAGAAAAAATAGGAGAAAAAGGGGCGAGGAAGCAGAGGCGGAGGAGAGACGGAACATGAGACCGAGGAGGAAGACGGAAGAGGACAAGTCAAGAAGAGGAATAGGAAAGAGAAAATAAATAAGAAGAAAATTCCCTAAATGCAAAAGAGCACATACAACTTTAATGTGTTGCGTGTCCCTGTCGCTAAACGACAACACCCACTCACGCCATATTTTATCAAATCTAGGTTAATCTTCAGAAACAGGAATCAGCTAGAAAATAAACAATTTCGAAACCTCGTTAATCATTCCCCGGACTGCCTAATTCTTGTTAGTCTCGTTAACTGTCTTACCCACTGGCGTTGGCGATCATGCTTGTCATCATCATCTTGCGATCTTCAATAGCATGGATCAGTTCATGCAAGTCCACATACTTGCTGCAATTACCTTTATGCTGCGTTTTAGAGACAATTTTGTCTTTATAATTATCATTACTTCTGCTTTTTTTATCTGTTCAAAAAAAAAAGAAAAAAATATTTGTTTGTTTGTTCAATGTTTCGCTGTGGAGGACACGGGTGAGAAGTATTATCTGGATTTTTTCACCGGGTGACGCCGGTGTGTTGGGAAATGAACAGGCGGACAGACTGGCTGGCTCTGCACAACTTGATGGTGTACTGATACATGATAAGGCAGACGTGGTTAGTGTTTTGTGGGAGAGCGTGTACAGTTCGGAGGAGCAGATGGATCACCACAGTCTGGTAAGATTGATGCAGGGGGGAGTGACGAGAGGTTTTGGCAGATGCTCGAGGCTCATAGGAAAGGCAAGACGAACGTTTAATCAGAATGCTACTGGCACCATTAGTATCGGAACTCTTCGCTGGCTGCTGAAGATGGGGTCGGAGCACTTATGGGAATGCCCCGAATGCTTGAATCAAATCAATTTTTTTTTCTGTTCAAACTAAGACTTTTGTTCTGACGACACTGACCATTAGATAAAAGCCTCCTGTAAATCCATGCGACACCTCATAGATTTTTTCACATGCATAACAGAAACAAGCTACCCAGGGCCACTGCTTTCCTCAAGATGAAATCAGATGTCCAATACCCAGGTCGCTATTCAGTCTAAAGAAGAATAGACTTATGTTTGTTTGTTTTAGTCTCCAGAAGCCATGAGTTGTTAACCCTTAGTTTCGGTATTATGGATATCGGGACCTTTCAGCCTTGATTCCATTGTAAATACCGTAAATCTGGGAGAAATGTGGCTTTACTGCCTACCCCTAGGAGTGAACCCAGACCACAAGGAGTTCATCAAGCGGTCCCCGCGCAATTCGGTTTAGCCAACTACGCTAGAGAGCCGGGCAAGAATAGATTTAAAAGGGGATAATCGTAGATGAGTGGTGCTGGAGACGCTATCTAACAGGTGTGTCATCTTACTGACCTTAATCAGGGAAATGAATGAAACCCCAAGCCTGGTTTTTTTTTTTTAAACATTAACATTACACTTGACAGAAGCTGAAGAGAGCAGATCCTTGGCATAGAAAACACGGCAGTCAGAACTATGATTGACACAAGCACAGGTGAAGGTGATGCTGTAGTGTACACGTCATCATCATCATGTCGCTCTCATCACGGTCTGCCTGAAAGAAACTCGGTCTCTCGCCAGCTCTCCCGCCTTGTGCACTTGCATACTCAAGGAGTCTTTTACATCCTGTGCCCATCTTCGTGTTAGTCGGCCCCTGCCCCTCCCTCCTGGTACCATGCCTTCTGCTATAACTTTTTTTTCCAATCTGTCGTGGCGCTTGATATGAACAAAATATTTCAGCTTCCGAGACAGGATGCTGTTTATTAGCCAATCTTCCTTGATGTTCGTCCAAGATATTCTAAGAATATTTCTATAGCATTTTATTTCAGCTTAAAAGAGTGTACACATACGGATTAGTAATTCGGGGCAAGTGCACGGGCATTCACAGTAAGCTAAAGGAGGAAAACTGTCAAGAAGCTGAATGACACCTTTTCAGTTATAACTAGCAGACTTAGAATCGAAACTGCTTGTAACAAAGGCACTAGAATGGCTGGGTTCTCAAGAGTTCACACACACACATGCATACTTAGTGACACAATAAATATGCTTAAGAAAATTCAGGCCAGATTCATGAGAAAAGACTGGATGGGGTCACCAAGGAATGTTTGAATGGCTGGCATATCCTCTATTTTGTGCCAGGTAATGGAGGGAACACGCATGCAGATAGTCTTGCAGACACTGCGGTTGCTATGGCTGGTCCTGTATTAGACAGAAGCTGTTATCAATGTCAAGCGCGAAGACGAATAGACCAAAAGGCATGACTCAGTATCCCTGTTCAGTCTGATGAACATGGTGGAGCTGCATTTCCCTGAGAGTACAAGACATTTAATTAATCAACACAGAACAGGCGTCATCAGTCGCTTTACACTTGCTGAGCTTTTGAGGAGGAGATCGGTGCACCTAAGGATCTATCTGGAGTGCTGTAAAGACAACACTCACTAATCACTAACAGAAGCCACTCACCTCTCGAGTTTCAGCGCAGATCTTGCACAGCCACAAAGGTTGTTTGCAGCTGCTTATAGTATCCATCCCACACTTGGAGCAAACAGCCTGGAGGACACACAACAGAGCTTAAAAACGGAAACTGGCGAAATGGCTCACTGATATAGAGTTTGCCGTTAATTTGAGCAGAAACCGTGCAACAATTACTTTTCAACAAAGCCAAATTTGTGTACAAAATCCTATCTATGAATACTCCTAATAATTTTTTTTTTTTTTGGGTCTTCTTCAAAAATTCAATTTAATCCTATGAACAGCAAGTGGCTAATAATGTAACTGCAAACTTTTTCGGTACATGCTTACTAGTGATTATATAAAAAGTAAAGTATAGATCCCTTTCACGCCTTTAGGCGCATCGGGCATATGGGAAGAGCACCCATATTGTACAGACCAATCGGCACTCGGTGGGTAATGTGGTCAGCATTACGCCGGCCATCTTTACTTCCCCAGGACAGCCATCCTGGTACCAATTTGAGGCTGGGTCGACCTGCGACGTCACATACCAGGATAAAAATCCACGCAGCCAGCAGTGGGTTTCGATCGCGATACGTTGGATTACAAGTCGGACTCGCAACGCCTTAGCCACGGACGCCGCACCAGTGATTATATGCCACCTTTTAATTCAATTAATAAATCACAAAACATTATCATTTTATAAGGTCTGTATGTACGAGTGTGTATGTGAGAATAAGTGTGTGTGTGTGTGTGTGTGTGTGTGTGTGTGTGCGTGCGTGTGTGTGTGCGCGTACAGATAAGTTTATGGTTTATGGTTTTTACAAAGGATCAACATCATGGCACAAGGGTAGCAACCCACAAGTGCTCCGTTCTACTTCTAACTCAAGCCTGAGTCCGAAGAATCTCAGCGCAGTGCACAAACTCCGTTGTACCGGCGAGAATCCTGAAATACTTTAGGTTACATTTTTAACTCTAAATTTTGCCTAGGCAGCGGCGTTAGGCTACTTTTTTCGATGTCCAACTGCCAAGAGATTTTTTTACGCGCGCAACAATACACACGGGCGTCCGCTCTTGCTATCCAGAGACCAAGGGAAGTATAAGTATGTGTGGGTATGTGTATGTACTAGTACACATGCTTGTCTAAATGTGTGTATGTAAGAGTTCGTGTGCATGCATGTGTGTTGGTGTGTATACATGAATGTTTGTTATGTATGAGTATGTATGTGTGTGTCACCTATATATATATATATAGGTATTTGTATGGGTGATGATTAGGTTCTTGTGTATGTTTGGGTGTATGTGTATGTATGGGTATTATGGGGGTGTTTGTGTGTGTATGGGTGATTGTCTATGATTAGGTGCTTGTATGGGTTTCTGAGTGTGCATAGGTATGTATGAGCTAGCTAGTTGCGTATCCTTTACAGGGCATAGCAGAACCAACCCCAGAATTTATTGACTGTAGTGGTTTCTTAGGCACATTTTACGTTCAGTAGTTTGCCATTTCTTCCTGGACGGTCAGCTCTCAGTACCACTGTTAAAACCAGCGCAAGACAAATCGTCCGCAGGAGGGATCGAACCCGGCACCCTGGCATTACAAAGCGCGTTCGCAACGCCATACATAGTGTTTGCACTAGTGTGTGTATGTATGAGGGTGTGTGCATGTTCTATAAGTGTGCGCGCATGCTTGGATAAGTATTAGTAAATGTGTGGGTGTTTTTTATGTATGGGAGCGTATGAATGTGAGTGTATGTGTGTGTTGCCTTTATGTACGTGAATGTATGAGTATGTGGGTGTTTGCGGGATTGTGTGTGTGTGTGTGTGTATATATATAAATATATATATATATATATATATATATATATGTGTGTGTGTGTGTGTGTGTGTGTGTGTGTGCATATGTGTGAGTGCATTTATGTATATGAATGAGTGCCGATGCATGTTTGTGTATAGATGTGTGCTTGTGTATGTATGAGTGCAAAAAGGTGTCTGTGCATGTAAATCTAGTCATAAGCGTGAGTTTACATATGTGTATGCATGAGTGTGGGTACATGTATGTGTCTGTATGAGTAAGAAGGCATGTATGTATTTGATTAAGTATGTATGTATCACTCTGTGTGTGTGTGTCTGTATATTATGTACACGTATGCGCGTGTATGTGTGTCGGTTTATGTATGGGTATGTAATAGTATATGTGTACGTGTCCTGTCAGAGGCCGGTGTAACTAGAAGGGGAAAGAAGGGTGATGACAGTAACCGACGGACGAGAGTACTGACTTGACAGCAGACCTGTCTGCACGTTCATAGATTCATGAGGACGATAACGAGAAAGCGTGAACTCGATTAGCACCTGGGAGCAACGGAAAGGCCCGATGTGTGAGTGGATATTTTAAACCGCTCGGCCGGGTTAGGGTGGGGTTTATTTCGCAAACCACCTCTGTGACGAACGGCCTCTTTCCTCACAGTTAGGTGCTTCGCTGGAAAAAAAAAAATCTTAACGTTCAACTCGAATCTTCAAAGGGGAGTTTTAGGTTATAAGTGTGACTAGGTTATGTGCGTCAGATACAATGGCTTAGCATTTTCCGGCACCAAAAGCCATGAAAAGAACTCCTGCAATGTTGATGCGATCAGAGGAGACAGACGAAGTCGCCTTCCGGCAAGCCAATGGGCGACGCGGTCGTCGATAATGCCTTTTGTAGTTGCAGGCTGTGTTAAGACATACATCTTGTCATGGAGTTGCCAATCATATTCGCTAGATTTGGCTGAATCAGTCTTGATTCGCTAGATTTGGCTGAATCAGTCTTGATTCGCTAGATTTGGCTGAATCAGTCTTGATTCGCTAGATTCGGCTGAGTCAGTCTTGATTCGCTAGATTCGGCTGAGTCAGTCTTGATTCGCTAGATTCGGCTGAGTCAGTCTTGACTAGTTATCTTGGTCGGCGCTGCGTTTGGGTTTTAGCTGCCTGTTTACCAGCCGTAGATATTCGCCAGATTACCGCAACACATTAACTCGACTGTCCTTCTTAGGATTTCGGGCCCTTTGTAGTTCCGGTACACAAGTTTTATTATCACCATTCACAGTTTTCGATATGGGAAAGTCTGAGCAATCTCTAGATGCCTCATCCAAGCCAAAGAAGATGCCGGTCAAGCCTGACCATAGCCACGTGGACGACAATGTTGCATATTCTCCATCAGCGTCGAAGAAAGGCGCCCTTGTTGTGGCGCCAACCTCAGCTAACAGAGGGATACCAACACCAGAAGCGCCAGCACTTAAAGCCGCCTCTTTCGTGGCGCCAACACCTAAAGCCGCCCAAGTCGTGGCGCATGGACCTTCCGGCACCCGCCTACAAAAGCAGCAGCCTGAAGCTTACATCTGAGACAGGCAGTGCTCACGCTGCACTTCGGCATGGCACACAGCCGCGACCTGCCGCAGCTGCCCGTTGTGTCGCAACTGCTCTGGTCCACATGACTTCACGAAGTGCCTCCTGGCAAAAGCTGATCCAGACTTCAGGAAGCCTGCACAGCAGAAAGTGCTCAAATTATTCAGAGGGACACAGCGCTAGGTACCTTGTATGCCCGTACCTGAAGGGGATCAAGAAAGGCATGACCATCCCTGTCACCAGGATCGCTCCACCAGTAGACAGAAAGAGGTGCCAGGTACCCAGAATAGCACAACCTCCGGTCGCTGCAGCAGAAACGACTAAGCTACAGAACGAAATAACACAAATGAAAGCCGAAATTGAATCACTCAGTAGAGAAAAAGCCGCATACGAGGTCAAGCGAGCCGAGGAAAGAGACGAGATAACAGGACTACGAAGCCAAACTGAAGAATCACTCAAGACCCAGAAACGTATGGAGGCAGAAATCGCTGACATGACTCAATTCAAGTCAAACACCAAGGCCGTGCTGTCATGTATCCAGACCACAAAAAGAGAAGACAGCCAAAGAAGAGCAGAACAACTAGAAAGCAATCAGCGTAAGCCAGGAAAAACTATTGACTGAGGTGACACTACTCAAGGAGGCCACCCAAACGCTGCAGACAGAAGTGACTCAGGCAAGACACACGATTGAGGAGAAAGAGAGGGTCAAAAATGAGGCTACCAGGCAGCCGTCTACTCAACGCGAAACCAAGATGACGCCACAACTAGTGAGAAAGTCAAGAAAGCGGCAACCGATAGGGAAATCTGCGAGGCCGACCTTCAAGCGATGCTTGAAAATTTTAACAAACATGTACACCCGCACAAGTTAGTGATGGGAGATGGCCGCTATGTGATCTGCTACGACTGGGAGGAGCTCGAAAAGAAAGACCTACTACCCGATGAAACAGAACGACGCATAAAATGTGATAGATTTCACGATGTACTTAACGCAGCCCTTACTGAACTGCGCGTGACCAGGCACACACAAAGGAAACATGGCACGCCCAACAGAAGAGGTTATCGCCAGTTCTAAAGCCACTAAAGAGAGCCCACTGAATACGCCGCAATCTTTACGGACAACTCAAAAAACGATCGCCAGACCTGATAGCAGAAGACAGCCACGATGAAACCCCGCCCATTCCCGTTCCAGGCCGCCCCAGGCAAAAACGGTAGCCATTTTTAGGGCCGCCAAACCCACTCCCAAAAAACTGGAATACGCCCGCCAAGCCTGATCGAGCAGACATGATGCAGCAGCAAATAATCTAACTTACGCGAAACTGATCGCCACACAAAATCAAATTCAATCAGATAGCAAAGGAACCGTCTTCAATAAAGCAGGCCTTCGGGCAGCCGAAAGAGGGCAAATTTTGACATTTTTGTTTGGTTTCACAATTACGATTAACAGGTACAAGTATATGTTTGAGTGTGCATGATTGTGTATACATAATCGTGTAGGTGTGCATGAGGGTGTATATGTATGTATGTATGTATGTTTGAGAGTATGTAATTGATGTTGCGTGCTGATTTGGTAGGGTGTAATACTGTGTGAAAGGACAGAGTGGTATGACAGTACTTGTAACATCAGCCACCCACGTAAGCGTGACTCTCGAGAACGCCCACATGAGGATGATTTCCTAGAACGCCCACACGAGCGTGCCTCTCGTGTAAACATTAGTCGCCCA